GAGATGCTCTGGCGTTCTCATGCGACTTGAGCTCTTCTCGATATTGACCGCCTCCAGCCTGGCAGTTTGAAGTTGTTCTTGGAGCTCCTGCCTTTCTTGAACTGCCGTGGCTGTGGCGATCCTCTCTCCTTCTATTCTTGCCGCTGCAACAGCTGCGGATGCTGCGTTGACATCAACAGACTGACTGTTTGCCATCATGGCAGCTTGTCTTTCGGAGGTTATCATCTCAACGGATATGTTCTCAGCTTCTCCTTCCGCGAACCGCTTGGCGATCGCGGTCTGATGAGGCATCTGTTCCATCAGTTCTTGTTCACGCTCTCTGACCGCCTGGGCCATAGCGAGTCTCTCAGCCTCGAACGTCTTCCGAATCTCATCAACGACTGCATTCATTTCTTCTCTTTCCAGTCGGGCTTTCTCGGCCATCCGTGCATCGCGGGCCAGGAGTTCTTGCTGGGTTTTGGCCTCGACATACCTAGCCTGATTTAGCATCGCCTGGAGGAGAAGGTAATAGTAATTGTGCTCTTCCATCGGCACGCAGTCTACACGCGACCACTGATTGCTACAATTATAGGACACACGTCTGAGCAATTTCTACACACTGGGCGTCTACAGGCCCCCTCAGGCTTGTGGGCTCCAGACACCTGTTCTCCGCCTGAGGCGGGCAGTCGGGGCCATAGTTCTAGCATGTCTCGCGCATGTATATCGCGCTGTTACTCCTCGATGCAGATCGAGCCCCAGATCTGGGCATCTTGGGCCTTCCCCGGCTCGAAGCATTCGATCTGGGACGCATGTGCGTACTCTCTGGCGGTCGAGCCGTTTCTCGAAGCTCCTCATCCCATTCATCTTGTCTAACCAATTCGCCCAGCGAAGCAGGGGGGTCGATCATTTCATCGTCCTCAACTACTATGGGTATCGACGGTTGCCAATCGCCTGTGACGACGGCAGTCCGATGAAACCCTTCCAAAGCTGGAGAGTCGTTCAAGTCGTAATCCTCATTCCTTTGCTTCTTTAGTTGAGGGACGGGAATTCGTCCTGTGATCTCCCGATCGTGCTTCGCTTGAGTCGGACATTCCGTTTCTGCCTCGACCGCCTGGGGCGTCAGGTCACTTATCTCAATTTCCGAATCGGGTATTGCAAATGCTTCCCCAAGGGCTTCCACTTGATCGTAATCAATTGTATCCTGCCCGAGGGACCACCTCTCGTCTTGGACGGGATGGTCTGCGTCCATTATAGAGGACAAATCTCGGCCGAGTGACACTTGAAAATTGGCATACTCGATGTCATTCACCATGGAGTTAATATCGATACCCTCATCAAACTGTTCGTCACTGTCTTGGCCGGTCTGTCCGTTCAGAGCTATCGGGATGGGGTGAGTCCTTTGTTCGTTTCCCCATCCGTCTGGGGCGGTGGGGTATACGCCTCCGGACCTTTCAGCTTCTCCTGCCCCACTAGCTTGGCCAGCGGCCGACGCGACAGTCCGCATGGCAATCGTGCTGGAGTTTATCGTTTCCGAAGATACGGCAACTAACGATCTCGAGAAAACTCCTCGTTTAATCGTTGCTATTGTGCCGTCTCGCCTCACGGGGTCTGGGGTCTGTTCACGATCTCCTATCGGAATTCGAAAGAGAATCGTCTCTGGACAAATCTACAATCTCTCCCCTACTCCTTCCCCGGGATACCTGAGTGGCAATCGAAGAAAAAGGGAAGGCGGTCCCTCCCGGGGCCGCCGTCCTGTGGTCCTTGCCCGTCATGTTGTACAACTTGTGTCATGAGCTCGTCTCTGGCGGGCAATTCGGCTGTCTCATCATAACTCATCCCTCTTGCGACTTGGTCGCGGGTTTCGGCTGATAGCCAATCTTTCCTCTGAGAAACGGGGTAAGATGGCAAAGGAATCAAGGTATCGTGTTTATTCTGCTCAATAGTAGAGGATACGGGAAGATACATCGATGAAACATCAAGTAGCCGTTAAGCAATAGTACTCAGGAGTAGTAAGGGAGGAGGCCAGCCGGCCGACGACCGACAACGCGCGGCGGCCGAAGGCTGGCACGCTCCTTTTTCTCCTTGAGTAGCAAACAGCTGCGGTACAAAGCCGCAAAGTCAAGGAGTGGCAAGGTAGGCAGTGAGAAGAGCAAGCTTAAGAAGAGGCAGAGAGGAGCATATTTACTCCCTTGGCTCGGTCACGAAGGCGGTCTGCCAAACCTGGTTGTGAGCTTCATGCTCGCGTGCATCCTTGCACACTGTCCACGAATTCGTCGTCTGGTTCTTCTTCGGTACTGGTGGTAACCAGTAGCGGGCTGATGTGGCATGCAGCGGCACGCTATAGGTGCGCATGGGGTCGATCGACAAACGCACAAGCTGGCGAGCGATACCCTGTCCTGTTGCTCGGCATGCGAGCTTGGTCAGGACGCACACACGTGGACATACATAGAATTACATATATGGCCCCTTCTCTGCAACACTACACACTTGTGTATCCATATACGTATAAGCCTATGTATGTCAGCTAGCATGAACCCCAAACGCCGATATCTTGCAATATGCGCGGTGCCGCCTAGGTGGTGCAATCAATGTGGTGCAATCTAGGTGGTGCAATTCATGCGGTGCAATCTCTGTGGCGCAAACCAGTGCAAAGCAAAGCCTGGCAAATGAAGGCTAACCAGTGCAATCAAATGCAATGCAACGCGATGCAACGCAACGCACATCAATGCGAGGCAACAAAACGCCATGCGACACAATGCAAACCATTGCAACGCATTGCAATGCAACGACAGGGGGAGGGGGGGGTGCAACGGGGCGGCGGCGGCGGACGGGAACGGGGCCGCTGGGCCCGCAGACGGGCCTCTTCTTGGGGCGAAGGGGGCGGCAACGGACGAGAACAGGGCCGCCAGGCCCGCAGACGAGCACAGTTCCTGAGAAGAGACGCGCGAGCCCCAGAGTGCAAGCACTGTTTGGGAAATCTGAATGTGTGAAGAGTTCTCGTTGTGAACTCACGCCATCTTGACCCCCACCGCTTGAAGAAATGAAGCCTCAATCGCGCCATTTCTGGGGAACCCACGGAGATTAGCGGAATCTGGCGCCGAATCCGTGGCCAGCGCTTTCGCGTGAGAGGTCCTCGAAAAATCGGGTCCGAGACTCCTCCACGAGGCCTCACAAATGCTGCGCGATGCGCCAAGGCCCCTGGATGTCCCCAGAAGGCGCCAACAGCCTGCTTGAGACCTGCAGAAAGCCCCGGGAGGTCCCAAGATGCTTACAGGAGGCTCACACCAACGGAGTAACGAGGCTCCTGGCGCGCAGAGACATACCTACTCCACCACCGCGTCGCGACAAAAACACACGACCCAACTTCTATATGCAGAAAGTCACGGTCAACCGCAAAACGCCCAGCTTGTCCACACGCGCGCTTTTTGACGTGGGGAACACGTATGTCTCCGCACGCGCAAACTGCGGAACATGGGCGCGGCAGAGGCAGGCATTGCCTGAGCAGAAGAGGAGGGCGAGGAAGCGCGACGCTGACCTGCACCGGCAAACACACAACTCGCATACAACGTTGTTTTAGTTTGCAGCGCCTGCGCTCGCAGGCGAGGGAGTCGTTACCAGCGGGCACTCACACAAAGACACACACACACACATTCCTCCTCCGTGAAGTTGCAAGAACGACCAGTCAGACGCAGACACACACACACACACACACACAAAAACACATAAACACATAAACACACACACACACAAGCACACACATACACACAAACGCGCGCACAGCACAGAACAAAACACACATACACTTTTTGGCGGCGCGGTCACGCGCGCGGCGGCGCGGCGTAGAAGAGGTCAACGAGGCGCGCGCACCAGCCAGGCTCAACACACAGACGCACACACATGCACACAGGCACAAGCTGTTCCTCTAGCGCGCCGATGGGATGCAGGCGGCGGCTCACAGAGTAGGGGAACGGGACACGGTCAGCGTACAAACACAGGCAAACACAGGCACTCAGGCACATCACATGCACACGCAGTCACTTTTCGTATTCGTATTCACATTCGCAAACAAATCCCCACACGCATGCACACCTCTTCGACGCGACGCTGGGTCACAAACGGCGGTGATCAGAATCGCAATTGGAATTTGCCCAGCAACAACAATCCGCATTCGTGGACACATGCATAAAACAGACAATCCCAGAGAGCACTGGGCATAGCCGACCGCTGGGCTGCATCATGTGCCTGGTATCACACACAAAACAGCACTCCACGCAACACACACACACACACGCACTCTCTTTCTTTCTTTCTTTCTTTCTCTCTCTCTCTCTCAATACACACACGCGCATTCTCAACAAACAAACACAATCACAACGACAATGACACACGCACACGCATTCTTACGGCGCGCTCTTGAGTGCAATGGGTCAAGCGGAAGTAAGGCGGGCTGCACTCGAAGTAAATGGGCCGCGTTGCTTGCGCGCAAAATTTGACACACAGGAGCAGACATACACACACGCAAGCACAAACAAATGCACTCATAAGCACGCAAGCACACACAACCCTTCATGCACGCAACGAATACACATACACCCACTTCAACTTCCCAACAAGGCGATCGCAGACCACCTCACTGTCATGTGATGCTTAACCAACCCGTGTGTGTGTGTGTGTGTGTGTTTGGGCGTGCGTGTGTGATCACAAGACGCGCACAAACGTACCTTCTCTCCTGCCCCTGCGGCGCAAGTACTTTCAACTTAGCAAGGGCAGTAACTGGTCATGCGCCGGGAGCGGGCATACATACTCGCGTGGTGTATACGTCTGACACTGGCGCCCGTCTTCCCCAATCCTGTCTCATCGTACTTCCTCGTTTCTTCCCCCCCCCTCCCTCTCGCTCTCTCTCTCTCGATCTCACCCTCTCTCCCTCTCTATCTCTCCCCTCTCTCTCTCTTTCTCTTTTATGTTGCTTGCTCCATGCCATTGCACTGCGCTTTCTGCTGCTGCGACCCCCCCCCAGCAGC